TTAATGTCTTGCCGATGTCACAGTATTTTTTTGGTATTTTTTTAAAAATTTTTTGACGGTCAAAAGAGCCGTAGAAAAACGTAAGGAAAAAAAGTAGAGAGAGAGAGTAGAGAGAGATAGTAAAGGGCAAAAACGTAATTGGAGGGGGGCGGTGACTAGTAAAAGGGGGCGGTAAATAGCAATCCACAAAAATAAAGAATAATGTTTGGGCGGTAATACCATCCGACATAGAAAATAAAATAACAGTATTTCCATTTCCACTTATTTTATTTATCTATAAACTAAATTAAAATTAATTCCATTAGAGAATTGCCATATTTTTCTTGTGCGCATCATGTCAATAAGTGGAGACAAAAAACACAGGCACAACATAACTCTGTCCAAGGAAGGAACACACAAAATCACACTAAAACAAGGTAAATCCACCATTCCAATTCATGCCCATTAGATATTCTTCACAACGATGACAAATCCCGACAGAATGCCGTAATAGGACCATAGAATCTCACCGATACACATATCTCTACATACATAATAATTTACACCACAAAATTATTTTCCTTCATATGTTTTTTTTTTTCTAATAAAAAAAAAAAGAAAAAAAAATGATATACTATCTTTGGTTGAGCAGAATAGGGGTTGTCTCATCATCTGCAGAAACAGAGTTCCTCTTGATGAACTCCAAGCAGTCGGCTATGGCTTCCGAGCAGAAGGAGTTCGAATGGGCCATCGTCCTCACAGCCCGACCCGAATAATAATTCGAACCGCTTGAATACCCAAATCCAACTCTAGAATTAACATTTTTCCTCGGGCTGGCTCGACTTGTTCTGGCAAGTTCTCCCCTAAGCTGTCTGAGGGCCTTCTTGTAAGAATTTCTCCATCTCCTCAAGACCCCGAAAAGAAAGATGAAATTTTTCCGAAGTCTGGACACAGAAAATCTCCTGGGATGGAGGCGAACGCCGCCGCCGCCCTTCGTTCCACCTCCGCACCATAATGATCTGTTCCTGCCGATTTTGTCGTAGTTCATAGCAGCAGAATAGGAGCTCGTGTGTGTGTGTGTGTGTGTATGTGTTTGTGCCTGTGTTTTAATGGTTTGCTTTTTTCAAGAAAAATAAAAATGTTGAAGAAGGCAGGTTGTATGTAAAGGTGTGAGAAAAAGAAGAGCAAATATGGGTTTTTTTTAGAGAGAGAGAGACAGGGGCAATGATTTATTTTGGAGCAGACCAGTAGTTGGAGAGGATGGAAAATGCGAGGAAAATTATTTGGAAACTTTTTTTTTTTTTTTTTTGGTATAGGGAGTAGGGACCTTCCGGTTTCCGGATCCACAGGGGCACCGACTAATTTGGAATCGAGCCGGGTAGGACCACAAGGACGGCAAAGCTCTCCCTCAAGAGTTTTTAACGCTGCTGCATTCCCAAGGCTCAAACACGAGACCACTGATTAAACTGAAAGAGACCCAAGTCATCTCATCCAAACATTTTGGTTAAATGATTTGGAAACTTTGTCTGGTCGTAGGCGTTAGGCAGTGGAATTTATTTACTTCATTTGTCTTTTGACTACAAATGCACAAACATGTGTGGGAATTGTCTCTGCCTCAACATTGAATACTTTCTTTGTTTACTTAATTGTATTTTCTGTAAGTCATTTAGAAAGGAAGCAAAATAGAATAAAAGGAAGATAGGACTTATTTATTATATATATGTTTTCTTGTGTTTTGATTTGAATATTGAGTTACATTTAATCTAAGATTTGTTTCTTTATTTACGGTCGGAACACGCATGAAAAAGGTCTGGACGCAGCCCCGTAATTAAGATAAGTCGTGTTCTGACATGACTTTGAACCTTCCAAGTTAAAGGCGATTATGGAGATCTTGAAAAGTCATCATTGAAGGAAACTTATCAACAATGAAGATTCTGAATAGTTACTACTAAAAGAGGACGCATATATATATATATATATATATATATATATATTCAGAAGACTTCATCATTGTATTCTAGCATTTTGAGAGAGAGAGAGAGAGAGTTATGAGAATTCTGAGAGTTTTGAGAGTGCATATTTCATTGGATTTCATATATTTAGTCGAGCTTGCAATTCGTATTCTTACTAGTGAAAGAGTTTTGAGCAAAGCGGATGCTTCTTGAAGACAATTTCATTTGAATCACTTACGCTTTATATTTTGTGTAGCTACATATAAGTTTGCACTCGTACGTTCTCCATACACTTCAATTGGCACTGGAGCTGGTACATGTTCTAATCACAAGTTAAAGACAGTGGAATGAGGAATTGGACACAATGAACCACAAATCCAGCTCGATTGCTCGACCCCCTTACTTGGATGGTACGAACTATTGATATTGAAAGTCAACGATAATGATATTTCTTTGATCTCTTGGCAAATGTCACGCACAAGTTTTAAATTAATATATTATATCTTATATATAACTTATCTTGCGAGTTATATATATGATAAATATAAAAAAAAAAAATTATTAATATCTCGCTATCATGCATATGCCTCATTTAGTTCCTGTTACTCAACATCTTCTTAAACATTGATTGTGATTACACGGAGAAGACAAAATAGATGATGAAGAAGTGGATTATTATTGGTGAAAAGGTTTTGTCTTTTAGCTTTATAAAAACATGCAAGTTGAAAGGGGTTGGAATATTCAGCGCAATTGGGGGAGAGACAATGGGACATGGCAACAAATAAATAAATAAATACTCACCATATTATTAGAATTTATTACGCAATATATTTGTTTAAAAAATTATATATGGGTGAATGCAAGCAAAGTTGGTGTAACAAGATTCATTGGATGGGATGGGCGTATCAAAGGGAGCAGGCAGTACAGGTATCATGTACAACAATGTTACCACCAAATACCTGTATCATGTACAGGTATCATGTACAACAATGTACAGGTATCATCTTTAACTTTTTTTTTTTTGAAAGATGCTTAATTTGGCAAGAAATTTTGAAAATGAAATCGAATTCAATTATGATTTCTAAAGACTTTTAAAGATTTTAGAATTTTTGTTGTATTTAATTTAAATTTCTCAAAACTTTTAAAAGTCTTGATATATTTATTTGAGATTTTAAAAATTTTTACAAAATCCTGAAGTATTTAACTTATTTGACACTAGTATTTATTCAGAGATTTTATGAGATTTATAAAAAAAAAAAAAAAAAAATCTGTGTACAAAATTTCACTCTAAATTCCACCTACAAACGTAAGATATTTCACATGACTCCTCCAAAATCCAAAAATCTTAAAAAAAAATCTCAAATCTCAAAAAGTCTTTAAATGTTACTCAAAATCCTATATGAATACACCACCCCCATTATGTTCTAGTCAAGCAAGGAAAATAATAAAGGGAAGATTCACAATCTCTCTTTTATTAGATTGTATTTTATTTGTCTTGGAACGATTAGTTATATAGGGGCGTAGCCAGAAAAAAAAACTACCCTGGGCTGAGTTTTCACAAAAAATATAACTTACATAATTCAATAGTAAAAATGAAAAAAATATTAGAATTTCATTGAGATATAATTGCTTCATGTTCATTAAAAATATTTAAAGAGTTATACAAATGTGTCTACACACCTTTTGCGCCAATTTGGGTGTCACGATTTTTTCCAAGACGACCATTATATGCACTTAAAAGATTAAACAACATATAGATGGATTAGGTGGCGCCTAATGGGCTAAGCAGTTGCGAAGTTAGTCACGTTCAGATTGACTACACTGTCTAGTCGCATATAATTTCTTTTAAAAAAATTTGAATTTAATTTTTAAAATGGTAAAAATAATCCGAGTTTTTTTGTATCAATTATACATTATAACAAACATAATAACCATCCTATTAATATTAACACAATAGGTTCCGTATGCATTAGATTTTCATAATACTTTTACTTGAACATATTAATTAATATAATTTTGTCTAATATCTTATAAGGTATGCATGATGATAAAAGCTAAAATGAATAAACAAAGCGCATCATTTTCATTATAACTCTCTTCTCATTTTTTTATATTATAACTGAATGTACGAACAAAATCGGATGCTAAAAGGATGCTTGGATATATCCTCAATATTATCAATGTACTTAAAATCAATACAATTAAATAACACTACTCAAGCATTCTTACACATTATATCAACTTTAATTTATTATTCGTTCACTCACATGATTTTAGCTAACTATAATGTCACATCATATTTTTCTTACATTTTTATCCAATCAACTTTCATTATTTTAATAAATTTCACTAACAGCTAACCATACCGTTTTTTTTTTTAAATTCATATCAAATCGAAAAACTTTAAACAAAACCAAAAAAATTTATATCCAAGCAAATATGCTTAAATATTTATTAAACAAACTTTTGATAAACCTTAAATATTGGTGCAAATAAATTAAATAGTGAAACAAGTGTAAGTCATAAATTATAAGTAATATTTCTTTAAGGCAATTAAAATAAATATTAATATTTGTACCACAAAAAATTAAATATGTATATAAAGAAATATAAGCAAGAAATAACATTTTATTTGATGAACAATATAGTCTTTCCAAAAGAACAGAAAATAAAAAGGACACGTGAGGAGTGGAATAAAAAATATGTTCAATACTCCAATTAATGAATTTTTCTTTTCGTGTCTCTCTACTCTTTTATACATAGAACTAACTCTAGAATAGAGTCATTAAATCTGCTAAAGGACAAAAAGTTTTGAAAGAAAAAGTTGTCTTTTATTGGGCTGAATTATAACCAAAACTGGGCTGAGTGAACAAAATATGGGCTTTCTATATATAAATATTTGTGGCTCTTACAAAACTAGCCTGGGCTGGAGCCCACCCCAGCCTTTGGGGTGGCTCCGCCTCTGTAGTTATATAAGTGCTGCCTCTTAATGCTTGTATTATTTTGTAGGAGATCTTGCATCCAAAAGGAAGAGGAAACTGATCATGACACTATGGACATCAAGATCTCGACTTCCATATATGAAGATCTCACCATTAGTTGGAAATTTAAAGAAGGAAGAACATCCACTCCAAAAGGAAGAAAGCTTGAAGACTTCTTATCTTGAGGAGTTTGTATAAATGTCATCTCAAATACTCAGTTGAATTTTGCTGCACATATCGGAGCTTATCATACTTCTGAAGACTATCTGAGTGTTTGAGAGTGTTGCTTTTGAGTTCCTTTGTAAATAGTTTTTCAGTGTTCTTACACCACTGAATAAATGTGTTTTGTTTACTTATTTTTACAAATACTTTTGGTGCTTAAGGATTAAGTACTTGGATAGATGGTGGGATTCTTAGCTACTTTGAAATCCACCAGGTTGTAGACAGAGGATTAGTTAATAGGTTCGAACATAGTGTTGGCTAGACTAGAAAGGAGTTCGAGTATTGCAAGTCCAAAATGTACTTTGTGTTGCGCAAAGGAACTATTAATAAAAGAGCTATGTAGAGTAGTAGGACGCTCCCTCAAGAGATTTTAAAGTTAATTGCTTCCACATTTATTTTTGTTGTTCAAAAAAAGTATTCCGTACTCTATTATACTCCCAATATCAATTTCAATTGGCAACAGAGCAGTGTTCCTGTTCCAATCATGGAAAAAAAGATCAAATGTCCTGTGTGACGGGCACCATGAACCACGAAAACTTATCGATTTCGCGTCCTATCTAGATGAATCAAATTAGTTGATTGAAAGTCCATGATGATGATCTTTATATGATCTTTAGGAAAAGGCACCTGACAAATTATCGAAACCGGTTGAACCTTACCTATGACGAGAAATCTCCTCCAAAAAAAAAAAAATGAATCCTCCTCAACTGATGCAACCACTCTTAAGCTGTTTGAAAAGCAAGAGACATGTGGACTGATAATGAAAAGCAAGGAGAAGAAGCCAACTTTGTGCTCTATATGAGATAATGTCGGCTATTGATCCTACCCTCCACAAGACGATCATTCAGTGTTCCACCGCACTTGATGCTTAAAAACTTCTCGAGAGACAGTTT